TCCTGCTGGTCTTTTTATGGGGTTCCCGCCTCAATGTGTTCTATCCTTTAACAAGGACTCCAGTCATTGGATTTCAGGCTCGCCGTAAATTCAGGATGATGCGTCTTGAGATCCTTAACTAATTGCCTCTGCAAACACCTTTTCTCCAGTTAGGTTATAATCTGAGGTTTTGTGTGGACATGAATTTGGGGGGCCACTCTTCTACCCAGTTTATGCCGCATGGCCGAGGAACCCAGGCCAGGGCCTTTTCCCTGTACCTCTGATCCCATACCCCAGCAAGGACGGCCAGCTGTGGGCCTTCTGCTCACACAGTCTGAGGCCGCTTCCCCTCCAGCAAACAGGGGCCCTCCCGGCGTCTGGGCCCAAGTGTCCAGGTAACATCCCAGGGCTGGAGAAAGCAGCTGTTTCCCTGCCATTTCCTGTTCTGGGCTAGCCTAGAGGTTAGAGGTGGTCGGGGAGTGTGCCCGTTTTAACCCTTTCCTTGCCAGGAATCAACCCTAAGCCTCTCTCAAGTTGCGGCCAAACCTGGGGCGACAGCGCCCCCTGGTGGCCGGCTGGAGCCCTCACCGCGGCTCCCCTGTGCTCACGCAGCCGTGCGCGGCGGAGGTGGCTGTAAATGAATTTAGCAGCCGCGCCGTTATTTAAATTGTTTTAATTAATCACAGATTGAGCAGTAAATGAACCACTAAGTGGAGAGAGAGAGCGGACTGAGCGAGAAAGAGGTGAGGGGAGGAAGGCAGCGCCTCGGTGATGGCTTAAAGAAGCACAAACAGCTTCCGTGGGGGCAGGGGCGGGGGCAGGAGGCGCAGATGGCTGAGCTTTTCCTCCCGCTGCTGACACGTGTCGGCGCCCCAACCCCGGGTGCCACGCGTGGGGACGGGGCGGGGTGGGGGGGTTCCTACTCCCTGACAAAAAGAATAGAAAGTTGGCTAAAGAAGAGAGCAAGCAGGAGGGGGAGTAACACTTGGTAAGAGTTTAGTGCGTGACTTGGCTGCACTCCGCACTTTTTTCCTAAACCTGTTACTATATGCAAAACACAGTTTAAAACACCCAGCATCCTAACCCAGCAATGCCAAGGGCTCACTGTGGGACCTTGAACGTGTAATCAGAGCCCGGATCTGGCTTCTCTGGGATAAGACCGGGTGGAATTGCAGAAGACAATGTCTAAGAGCTCCCGGATCTAGGATTCTTTGCTGTTGAACAAAGGCATTTCAGGGATGCTCTGGGCCAGCTTCCCCATCTGTAAAACAGGTTTACACCTTCTTCAGAGTTAATATGGGATTCAGCAAACTGCAGCCTGCTTGTTTTTGTACAGCCTGTGAGCTAAGAGAGGTTTGACGGTTTGTTTTTGTTCTTGTTTTTGTTTTTTACATTTTTGTATGGTTGAAAAAAATCAAAAGAACAATATTTCATGACGAAAATTATACGAAATCTTAATTCCATAAATAAAGCTTTATTGGAATGCGGCCACTCTGATTCATTTTAAGGATTGTCGGCAGCTGCTGGCACAACACAGAAGCAGTTTAGTGGTTGTATCAGAGACTGGATGTCCAGAGAAGCCTGAAATATTGACTGTCTGACCATTTACATAAATGGTTTGCCCACCCCTGATTTAACACATCATGATTTGTCAGATGCACGGTTTTATGTACCGTTAACAAGGAAAAACGCTGCCAATTAAACCACACCATAATGTTTTCATATTACTTAGATTTTATTAATTTACATTTATTGGAAGTTATTTAGACTGTTTAAACCTAGATTTGGATCACACTTGTGAAAACATAAAAAAAGAAAATGTAAAATAAATTGATAATGGTATCCCCAAAACCTCTTTGTATCCAGAGACCAACTGTTCTGAATCACTTTTTGACTCGAAATTACTTTCATTTTTGTCTAGCATACAATATCGTCCCCCATGGTTCTCTGTAAAGCAGTATTTCTTTTTCCCTTTGTATTTTTTTAATTGAGGTAACATTGGTTTATAACATTAAGTAAGTTACATGTATGCAACAGTATATTTTGACTTCTGTATACACTGCAGCATGCTCACCATCAAAGGTTTAGTTCCCACCCGTCACCACGCAGCTGACCCCCTTTATTCATTTTGTCCTCCACCCCTCCCCTCTGGTAACCACTACTCTGTTGTCTGTATCTATGTGTTTGTTTTGGTTTGATTTGGCTTGTATGTTTTTGGTTTTTTTTAATTCACTTATGAGTGAAATTAAGTATTTGTCTTTCCCCATCTGATTTATTTCATTTAGAATAATACCCTCCAGGTTCATCCATGTTCCTGCAAATGGCATTAATTTATTCTTTTTTATGGCTGAGTAATACTCCGTTGTGTATATACAACACAACGTTTTTCTTTTTTCTTTTTTTTTCCTTTTTTTTAATTGGAGTATAGTCAGTTTACAATGTTGTGTCAATTTCTGGTGTACAACATAATAGTTTAGTCTTACATATACATACATATATTCATTTTCATATTCTTTTTCATTATAAGTTACAAGATATTGAATATAGTTCCCTGTGCTATACAATATAAACTTATTTATCTATTTTATATATAGTAGTTAGTATCTGCAAATCTCAAACTCCCAATTTATCCCTTCCCCCCCTTCCCACCAACCCACCCCAGTAACCATAAGTTTGTTTTCTATGTCTGTGAGTCTGTCTCTGTTTTGTAAATAAATTCATTTGTTGTTTTTTTAGATTCCACATATAAGTGATACCATATGGTATTTTTCTTTCTCTTTCTGACTTACTTCACTTAGAATGAGAATCTCCAGGTCCATCTATGTTGCTGCAAATGGGATTATTTTATTCTTTTTTTTATGGCTGAGTAGTTGGAGTCATGGCAGGTGCTAAGGCTTCAATCTCTGAGACACAAACTCAAGGCTGGAGTGATGACTGCAAGGAATAAGAGGTGGCAGGAGGTTTAAATTTCATAGTATGTGGCTGACCCCGGACAGCAAGGATGGGCAAGGCTTCCCCACCATACAGAGTAGGGGAGAGAAAAAAAGTCTGCCTGAAAGGCCTCCAGGAATGGGTGTGCTCAGGAGAGGTCCAGGTGTCCCCCAGCCCAAGAGGACAGGGGGAGGCCCAGGGAGGAGGTTGAATGTGCAGGGAATCTCACTGACAGTGTCGGCGCCGCTAAGTTCTAAAGGGCACAGCCCGGAAGTCTGGAAGCAGCATTCCTGGCAGGGGAGGCGGGACTGCCTGCCTGGGAGGGAGGAACTCTTTATCGCTGACATTGTTCAGAATTGCGGATGCGTGATGACCACGAAAAGCAGGCTGAGTTTTATAGGTTTTATTCTTGTTTTAAATTCTCGACTGCCCTTCCTGCCTGAACCCAGGGCAGACTGTTGGTTTGGGGAGTTCGGAGTTGTGGGAAATTGAGTCCGTTAGGGCTGCACGCCCGAGAGCGGTAGGGATGAGATGATGGAGGCAGAGGTTGGAACAGCTAACACCCACGTGTGCCGCCCTCTTGTAAGGGCTTCTTCACACAAAGCAACTGACTGATTCCTCACAGCCATCCTACGAGCTGGGCTCTGGAATTACAGCCCCATAATATGGAAGAGGAAACTGAGGCACTGAGAGGCACGTGACATGCTAGACGATCCCCAGATGTCAGGTGGAAGAGCTGGCTGGCTCCAGACTCTGGGCTGGACCCCTGTGTGACCTGGGGTCCTGGCTTCTCATGGTGGCTGCTGTACACGGGGCTGCGAGAGTGTTGGGCTCATCCTGGTAGTCTCTCTGGCTGTGAGGGTCGGGAAGAGGGGTGTTTCGCAGGCTCCTGAATCTCCCTGCCCATCTGCAGCCACATAACCACTTCAGTGGCTGTGTTTTCAAGCAGAGGGCCACCTTCTCTGAGACCCCAGGACTCAGTGCTTGGCCTCAGCAGCTCCCCTCTGTGTCTAATGAGGATGGCAATGACAGGTTCGTGGATGCAGCAAGTGACCACCAGAGGCAGGGTAGACACGGGACTCCACACCTGTTGGCGGAGATAAGAAAAATCTCTTTTTCAAAGCAGGTTGGATTGGAGTTTCCCTCCCTTGCTGCCAAGAGCATCATAACTGAATTACAGGGAGGGTCTGCCAGGCAAGAGGTCCTGGGCAGAACAGCTCGGAATCCAGGCAAAGCCAAGATTTGGAGAGTCGAGCTTCAGAGAGGTCTGGCAGCCAGGCTGTCACCACCAGGAAGACCTTCATGATCCCTGAATAGGGAGGGGGCCTGGAAAAGTAGTGGGGGGCCCTATGGGAGAACTGGGGATAGAGGAGCAAGAACCAAGATGTACGTCAAGCCATTTCCTGGTGTGCAACGTGGGAGAAGAGGTAAGTCTCCCAGCCGGAGAGGGGAGCAGCCCCAGCCCGATCCCCACCTTGTATTAGCTGTGTCCCCTCAGACACACAGTTGAGCCCCTCTCTCTGTCAGTTCCTATCTCTGCCACATGAGGATGGTACAGTACCTGCCTCTAGGACTGCCAGGTGGACATATGAGATTATCCCTGAGGAAGTGTCGTCTATGCACATTACTCTCCCTCCTCTGCTCCCCTAGGCTTGCTGCCTGGTGGCCACGTCCTCCCACGCTCCACTCCCCTCCGTTCCTGCCTTTCCAACTTAGAGCCCTCCTTGAAGAGGCAAGCTCAGGCATCACTCCTCCAGGAAGCCCTCCATGCTTTCCTCCCACTCCAAGTGTCAGTAGATGTCTTCTCTGTGCTTCTCCCTGCTGCGTTTTTGAAACCTGCCTCCCAACACCTATTACATCAGAGGGCACATTACAGGTTCTTGGTGACTGCTGAACAAATGAGGGCATGCACAAACAAGCTGGGAATGTGGGGGCTGGGTTTCAGGAACAAGCCAGAGGTTTATTTACCAGACCTGGGGACCAAGGGACAAGGGATGAGACTGGCTTGTACTCAACACCCTGATGCCTCCTCCCACACACATTCTAGGTCCCGTTGGTCTCAGAGCCGATTTTCATTCATACAACAAAGGTTACTGAGCTCCCGTTGTGTTCCACACTCTGTTCTTGGCACTAGAGATACAGAAGGAAGCAGAATATTCATAATTCCTCATCTCTTTGTGCCTGTTATGTTCTAATACCAGAAACAAGGAAATGCATAAAATACAAGATAATTTCAGATCAAGGTAAGTATTAGGGAGAAAATGAAAGCATGAAGAGGGGGAACTGGGGCAGAAATTTCCTTGAAATGGAATAGTCAGGGGAGATATTTAAACATCAATGGGTAACGAATATCACACGTTATCAATAGAAGGTGAGTGTAATTGGAAGGATAGACTGGGGGTTCAGGATTTGCAGAATTAACTACTATATATAAAATAGATAAACAGCAAGGTCCTGCAGTATAACACAGGGAAATATATTCAATATCTTGTAATAACATATAACGAAAAAAAATCTCAAAAGGAATGTGTATACACATGTATGTATAACTGACTCCCCAGGAAGGGCCCACAGCGGGCTTCCGTCCAGGGGTGCTGGCCTGCAGAACTCCGCCCATCACCAGTCTGCCACCCAGTCACCCTCGCTCCTGTGTTGTCCTTGCTGCAGACCGTGACATGTTTGGAGCAGCCCGGCACTCTGCAGGGGCTTGGGGACCAGCCACCAGTAATGAAAGATGCACTTTTTTGTATTATGGTATTCCAGATTTTTTGAAAAATACAGAATTTGAATCATTCACCTCTTGAGGCATACTCGGAAAGTTATCTGCTGAATAAAAACTTCTAACTGAACCAAAGCGAGTACTTCAGAAAGCATTCTGACCCATCCCTCCCTAGTATAGAATAATTTCCAGGTACCTGGTTATCACGTAAATTTCCATTTCCTGGGTTACTGATGCCAGGGAGCCCTTTTCCTTGATTTCCCTAATAATCATTGGATAATTTTAAACTGTTAATAATAATCATTTCCATTTCCTCCAGACTCCGTTCGAACTCCAAGACTATTTCCCAAAGTCCTAATGCAGTCACCTTAGCCAAGGGTGAGGAGATTGGAGGGAGCTGAGAGGGGAAAACCAAGGAAGTTATCATAGAGGGAGGGAGTGAGGAAGGTGAGGGAGGCCCCAGGTCCAATCCCAGCCTCAGGGTCCTGACCAGGTCCCTTCCTGCAGGCCGATTCCCTCTGCCTCCCTTCCAACCACCACCACCTCCACCACCAAGTTCCTGCCTGCCTGTGACTGTGCAGGTTGCCCCTACACAGGAATGCCCAGTGAGAGAGCCAGGAAACCCCAGCTCTCACTGTCTACCAGGCTCTGTGCCCTCCCACATCTGCCCCGAGGACTGGCCCCAGGCCCTGTAAGGGCTGGCAGCAGCTCTGTTATTATGAAGGAGAAAGGGTACACGGAGGCCCGTCTTCCATTTCTCCAGCCAAAGACCCCTCTGGACCGAAAGGATGCAGTTGACCCCCAACCATGTAGGGAAATGGAAGGGAGAGAGAGGAGTTCTCCTAGCCCAAGCAGACTGACTGTGAGATGTGTGTGGCCCCCTCTCAAACCATTCCTGGATGTGCCCCAAATATTATCCACTCCATCAGCCTCCAGGGGCCCGGCCGGGAGGTGACCAGCCAGGACTGAGCAATCAGAGGCCTGCGTGGGCTCAGGCACAGACAGATGCTCCTCTGGTTTATTCCCTATTAGCCTGGTAATGTAATACACTGGGTGTAATTGGTGCGTGAATCAAGAGACACACTCTCTTTATGTTCCCCAGGCTCTGCAGTAACCTCCTGTGTCCCTCTGCCTCTCTCGGGCACACCTCCAGCTGGCCACCCTGACATTTCTGGAGCTGGAGCTGGCAGAGAAGACATTTTGTTGCAGCCCCTAAACTGGAGGGAGACATAGTCTCAGGCTTTTGTAAGTGGCAGCCATCAAATATGGGAGGACCGTCCTCCTTTTTCGTTCCTGGAGAATGAGTCTGTTTCCAAATATAAGGACCAGGTAGCAGCCAGTGGGAACAGGTGCTGGCAAGCTGGGCCTGCCATGTTTGTTCAGGGCTCTATCTTCCTACTGGCCTTGTTTCTCACTTCCTGCCACCACTGCCACCTGGCTACCTCCCAGCCCAACTCCACCAGCGATCCCCAGGGTCCCCCTCAGCTAATCTCTCTGTGCTAGCAAGGAAGCAGTGCTATGGGAAAAGTCTGAGTTTGGGAGACCCACAAACTCAAAACAGAATCTAGATCTGAGTTCCTAAGCTAGGTGACTTTGCCTCCCTATGCCTCAGTTTCTTCATCTATAAAATGGGCACATAAACCATTCTCCCTGGCTTGTGGGGAGGATTAATTAAATCTCCCAGAAGGTCTGGCACAGCATTGGTGTCCAACTAAGCTTAGTTTGACAGCTCCCGCGACATCCCCGACTCCATCAGTTGTCCCAAAGGGCTTTTCATTACGTCAAAGAATGAATCCAGGAAAACCTGGGATTGAACTCTCTCTTCTTTTTTTACATATATATATATGTAAATACATATACATATATACATGTATATGTATACATACACATACATTTATATATATACACATATATTTTCAGATTATTTTCCATTATAGCTTATAACAAAAAATTGAATACAGTTCCCTGTGCTATCCAGTAGGTCCTTGTTGTTTATCTATTTATTTTTGTTATTTTTTATTAAAGTGTAGTTGATTTACAATGTCAGTTTCAGGTGTACAGCAAAGTGATTCAGTTATACACATACATACATTTTTTTTCTTTCCAGATTCTTTTCCACTATATGTTATTACAAGAAATTGAATATAGTTCCCTGTACTATCCAGTAGGTTCTTAGTGTTTATCTATTTTATACATAGTAGTGTGTATCTGTTAACCACAAACTCCTAAATTATCCCCTCACCCCTCTTTCCCCTTTGGTAACCATAGTTTGTTTTCTATGTCCATGAGTCTATTCCCAGTTTGTAAATAAAATTTATATCTTTTTTTAGATTCCACATATAAGTGATATCATATGATATTTTTCTTTCTCTGTTTGATTTACTTCACTTAATATGATCATCTCCAGGTCTATCCATGTTGCTGCAAATGGAATTATTTTATTCTTTTTATGGCTGAGTAGTATTCCATTGTAGTCCATTCTCACATCTTTTTTATCCAATCATTTGTTGATGGACATTTAGGTTGCTTCCATGACTTGGCTATTGTAAATAGTGCTGCTATGAATACTGGGGTGCATGTGTCTTTTCAAATTAGAGTTTTCTCTGGATATATGCCCTGAACTGGACTCTTTACTCTGAACAGACAGCTATGAGTTTACCTATCCCTCGAGCAGTTCTCATGCAATTCCTTCTGTGGCCGAACATAGAAATTATCAATGATCTGGCAACTTACATACTCATCCCTGCTCGAATGTCCCACCCCATTTAACACCAGTGTCCCTTGGGGCTCATCACACTATCTGGTCAGTGGACAGTCAACCTCACAGAATGACATCAGCATCCCATGATGCTGTGCCCAGGAAATTAAGATCAACTGCATTTGAAAATGCGTATCTCACGAACGAGGCAGGATTTCATGAGCTCAACGAAAGGGGAATCAAAGCGTGGCTCAGATCACACACAGAACCTTTGACAAACGAGTCAGTAAGAAGCAGCCTCTGCATTTCAAGTCCCTCCTCCTCCTTACTTGCTGCACATCCATGAACAAGTTATTAACCTCTCCACGCCTTAATTTCCTTATAAAACACGCAGAATATGTTTACCACATAGAGTTGCAGTAAAAATAAATCCATTGATGTACACAAAGAGCCTGGTACACGGTACGAGCTCAAAAAATGCTAGTTATCAGTACTGTGTAGAAGGGCGAGACCAGTTAAAATTAACAAAGAGGAAATCAATGAGGATAATGAATAAGTGCCTCCAAAGAGAATAATTTCAATATCAAAGCACTAAGAGAGGCCCTTAGGAAAACTTACGAAGCCCTCAAGCATTTTTGCAAAATGCAATCCTCTTTATAGTTGTGCCGTGAAAATCTAATATGAAGTGAAGGTGGTTCTAACGCACCAATATTCCCTCTTGTCAGAAAAATTCCACCCAAAAGAGAAATGTGTGATTCAGTCTTTGTTCATTCTAAAAATTCAAGGGTACTATTTTAATTATACTAAAATAGGGTTAAACGTAACATACAATTTACTTACTTTCATTCTATTTTGCTTTCTGTCTCAGTGACAGGTTGGCCTCATCCCAAGGGGGTGATACACAGGCTGACACTGGGCAGAGATGGCACTGATGTCCAAGTGCATGGTTCCAAGTTTGCCCTTGGGTGGCATAAATACTTATGTGGCTGGAGACGGGGTTCAAGCCAGGA